TGATTTTCGAACTTGACCTGCGTATTATGAATATCCATCAGTTCTGTTAGTTTCAAGCCAAAAGGTAAAATGTTATTTCACTTATCGTGTTATAGGTGTTGCATATATGCTGAGAAAAGTGAAAAAACAGCGTAACTTCCCTAAAAATGACCCGATCATGCTGATTTTCGAAATTGACCTGCGGATTACGAATATTCATCAGTTTTGTAAGTTTCAAGCCAAAAGTAAAATGGTTTCCCACTTATCATGTTATCAGTGCTGCATATATGCTGAAAAAAGTGAAAAAACAGCATAACTTCCCTAAAAATGGCCCGATCATGCTGATTTTCGAACTTGACCTGCATATTAGGAATATTCACCAGTTCTGTAAGTTTCAAGCCAAAAGCAAAAACGGTGTTCCACTTATCGTGTTATCGGTAAAAGTGCACGACGGCGACGACAGACGCAGATGATAGCTATATGTACAGACACATCTGTGTCTGTACATAAAAAGAATAATAGATGGGGTGTGGGTGCTACAGAACATATTGGGAAGGCACAAGTGGCATTTCACAAATGGGGACAAAGGAGCCATTCAGTGCAGTTTAGGTGCCATTTTCTATATGGTGTCTGTCCAATAACTACTTTGAGCATTATCTCTGTTTAATGCATTTTGATAGTTGCAGTCACGACAGGTAGTCAAATAACTTTTTAGATGTAATTAGTCATAGTTTGCAACCATAGACTGTTAATTCTTAATGACTGAAAATTATTCAAACAGATTTAAGGCAGTATTTTTTCAAATGTAACAACGTCTTATCTACATATGTAATATACAAGTGTTTCTATTTATCAATTTTCACAAATTTTGTATATTATTTAAGATTGAATAATAACATAACTAAATTTGCCACAGAGGCACATCAAAAGCAGAAATACAACAAATACATATAGAGTAAATTTAAACAGTTTTATTATTATGGACCACCAAACTCTTAAAAAGGAACCAGAGGAAGTGTTACTGTGTAAACTCATTAAATTAATAATCAATCAACTTGTCACATAACCTTCCATACAAAGGTCTTTAGAAAAACTGTTGTCAGTCCTTGGGCGCTCTTTTGCAATAACCAACAGAGTTATTGATGCCATTAACTATCAAAGTCTTTAGTTTTTATCAATATCTATTAATTGTGATTCTCCAGTGAAAGACAGCATTCCAGTAACATCTCCATCTTTTGTCTATTAGCATATGAGGTAGCTAGACAGAATCTACCATTCCAAACTTTCCAGAAGGAGTGTCAACAGTTCTTCTCCGATTTACTGACCACACTGTGACACCACAAAGAAAATTCTTCCTACTTTGGTAAACGTGCATATTATCCTTGACACAAATTTATAACAATAATTGTTCTTCCTAAGTGCTCCACTCATCATTTCAGTTTCTTTAGTAAGACTCTTGATACCTAAAAAAAAAAAAAGACGAAGCAACACTTAAAATTTGAATTTGAAAAATAAATGTTCTGTATAAAACATGAATTGAATAACATTATTTATGTTGCCTTTTAAGATTGCAATTGCCCGCAACATCTTTTTTCTTGTTTGTGCTCAAACACTGAGGAAGTTGTTATTTCAAAATTGACAGTTTTACACCCTGCTAAGCTGAAGGAGTATTGCCATAATAACAGTCGCAAAGTTGAATAATCTCTTGTCATTTTGTCATATGGAATACAAGTTAAGGAGACACCATTCTTTATGATAACTGGCTACAATACTTACGCATGCATCTACACAGTGAATGTAAGCATATAATTCATCAGCACAGTTCTCTCCAGGTCTCCCTCTGTTTTCATTGACCATGTCAGTGCAATCGTCTAATTTCTTCTTTATGTCAACACAGCCTTCACTGCATTTCTCTTTTGTTTCCTCAATGGGGTCCTGCAGGAACAAGATACATTCACTAAGTCTTACTGAGCTTAAGGGACATCAACTTTAGGTTTCTTCACAAATTAATAGGTCTCATTAAATGTCAAATTAAAAGATCTCATTACAAACAAAATAATATATAGTCAGGTCAGAAAATCTTAATCTCATGGCCTAGTTGATAAGTGTAAGTAGAGAAAGATGAGTGCTTAAAGCCATTCTAGTGTTGTCATAACTTTCAGATTCTTCTTTAAACAGCTAAGTCCAAACTTAAATTTAAACATAGACATTTAAATTCGAGATGGTACTTGCTGTCTCCTCTCTTATAGTAGACAATACTGATACATACCACTAATTCTTCCTCCTCTTCCTCTTCTTCTTCTTCTTCCTCTTCTTCAGGGTCATCCTTAAAACAAGAAATTTCTGATAGTTACACGCCAGTATGAAATGTGTAAAAAAGATGAAGAGAAGAAGAAGAAAAAAAAACTTCAATTCTGAGCTAATCTGGATCTGCTTAAAAGGAAAGGGCATGGTGACATATCTTCAACTCTTTATAACAACTTTGTTACCCTCCCCACCTCCTTCCATCAAAAGATATTATGCAGCAACACTTTCTAAACTATTCAAATTTGATGCCAAGGCTCATATGATACAGAATTTCAATTTTCTTTTCTATAGAAATGCAATTGAGACTTTTGACCATCCTTAAAACAAGCACAAACTTGAACATTTAGACAGGTCAGCATCACTTATGAAGTGGGGTTGGCCATATTTAGGCAGCAGATCAGTCAGTCCATGGATCAACTATTCTGAATGCAATCTTCACATTTGAAACTCAGAAATAACAATCCCATCAGTACTGTATACTGCCCTAATGAGATTACTTCACATTAAATTGAAATCTGATATGAATTGTGTACTATCATAAAATATCCCAATAACATAATTTTTATCACTAATATTCACATACCATGATTTGGAGACCTTCAATCTGAAATCGAGAAACAAATTTTATATATTTTGCAAAAAAATTCAAGACCAAGGGACCAGGGGGCAGCACTTACAGCACTAATACAAATACTTCATCCAATTCTAATCTTCATATCAAGTGACATTCTACAATAATCCAAAAGAATTAGAATTTCTACCATAATCTACTTCTGTCCATCATATCATTGTACTGTCACCAGTTGCCTGACCCAGATGTTTTTAGAACAAATTTATCCAAAGCATCATAATGTGCTGTTTAAATTGCACCTCACATTCAATTAAAAGAGAGAGTGGGGCTTCCTTGATTGAGTGACATTATGTTAAATTTTTTTTTTTGATTTGATAGGTTTTCAAAATTTCAAAAGAACGCAGCACCATGTAGCCTGGGATGTCAATTTTGGAGCATTCATTGAATATGAACAAACCTGACGTGTTTTTACACAATGAGAGTTGAATATCCATATGAAAAACAGGGCAATTTACCTTGGGCTGTTATAGGTAGACTTGGTTTCGTGGCAATATGATGGCTGTTTGTTTTATTTTGAGTTTTTGTCTCAAAAACCTATGCAACTTATTGAGTTTACTGACAGATGCTTACTATGCAATACATATGACAAATTGTTTTGGCATACTTAACAAATTTTCAAATATTTTCCTTGAAATAGCAAATACATTTATTTAAGTGTCATCATAACCGAAATTAGAAAAAAACAACGAAAGTCAAAGGCCTGTCGTTTTGGGGGCATACACAAGTACCGTTCTTCACTTCAACTTCGTGCCAGGTAAGGTCAATGGTTCTAAATTGTAAATATCCTAAATTAAACAATCAAACTAACAGTGAAAAGCAATCTGTCAGGGTAACTAATGATATCCCATATGTGACGCAGCTATAAAACAAAACAAACTATAGCATAATCTACCTCCTCAGGACCCTGATCTCTTCCAGTTAAATCTTTCACGTTGTCCGACGCCATATTTCACTTCAATGTGACGCACGTTCCGCACATGCGCCGAGAGGCAACTTCCGGTGTTATGGCTAAAAGAAATATACGCGGCATACGGATAAGTTTGAATGGTGCTTCATGTCTTGTTATCAGCAATAGACAATTTACAGACCTATATCTTAAGGCATATCTTAAGGCAGTTTATATATTGAATTCTTTGCATATTAGACCACTATAGCAATGTGTCAAAAACCAATATCATTTCCAAAAGTGAAAGTAAAAGTTTCACAAGATTTTTTACTACTATACTAGTTTTGTTTTAGATAAAAATACATGGAGACTGTGATAGCGTGTGTATTATTAATAGTACTAATGTTACAAAGCTGACACAAAACCACAGTTTAAACACCACAAACTGAGGTGAACAGTCAACATAAGAGAAAATATGCAGGCTGGGTTGTGTTTACCAACAGACCTTTTCCTCCTACTAGCCTAGTAGATTATGGAAGAATGTAAACTTCCATTGTTACTTCCACATGGTTTTTCATTCCATGAATGGTAAATCATAACTGATGACTGTTAATATTTTTTCCACAGCTCTGAACACGTAGGGCAGGTTGTGATGTGACCAATTGAGAAGACAGATAACATATTGACCATTCTGCCACTGGGTACATGTAGCTTAACAAATGTTAGAACAGAGCTGCTTCATGTATCAGACTGCAGTCCTGCAGTGTGTTATTGCCATGCTGCTAGTAAGCAGTGTGCTGTCACAAGATCAGAAAGACTGGATTGACCCTCATGACATGGAGAAATTTGACAGCAGGAAGGTTGAACGGCAGTTTAGCAAGGTGCATATATGTATGTTATAGAGTTAAAGTATTTTCAAATGTTCTTTTAAATTTTTTTTTTTCAGAAATGATGTATTGTAAATTGAGTTGTTTATTGGAAACTAGTAGGACAAATGCACTTACTTATATATTTTCCAGTAAAAAAAGAGACATTTGTGCTGAAAATATTTGTAATATGATTGTGTGGTGCATGTAATCTACAATCAAGTTCACTGTTATCAGACATGAGCCTAGGTTAAAAAAAACTCTGAACATTTATCATGGGACCTAACACCTAACCTTAATGAATCAAATGAATTAAAAACACGGAATTCCACTTTTCCACAGAGAAAGCTCATATCTGTTGTTATCTTTTTCTAAGACTGACACAGGTATATCATGCTCATTATTTAAAGGAGGAGAGAGGTGAAGTGAAAGCACAACAGGTGCCCTGCCCTAAGATCATCAATGAGTGTGAAAATAAATTGGTGATCTGCAAAGAAGAAAATGACAAATTACAACTGGAAAGCCAGTCTTGTGTTATCCAACCAGTGGAGATGCCTTATTTCAGACAGTTTGTGCAAGTCTTGATCAACTATATGGATCTCAAAGTAATTAAAAACATTTTGATTTTTTGATAATATTACTATGTATTGTTTGCTTAATTTTAAAGGTGAAGATTTTTTATTTTTTAATAACTTGGATAAGTACATTTATATATTTTTATTTTTATGATGTGTAATGTATGCTTAGTTTTCAGAAAAGTTTTGAATCTGCAATCTTTGCAAAATATTTGGATTATGTTTACCTGTAGTTTACAGAAAAGCATTTGGAATCCTTACTTAACACATTTTACCCAGTATGTTTGCTTTTATCTCATTAACCCTCAAGCGACTAAGCTATTTTACTGACTGAAATGACCAAGTGGGGTCATCTATGACCTCATTGTACTCTGTACAGGGATCCTTATTATAAAAGGCTGGTTGGGGGTTTAACACACCTATACTACTCCCAGAATTTAAGACAGGTACTTCATAATGATATAATGTAATAAGTATTTGGTATTAATACTTTTATTGCAAGAAATAACCAAACACAGATTTTGAAATGGGAACTGGACCAGACAGCTCATATGGTAGAATGCTTACCTTTGGTCATGATCAGTACTAGTAGCTTGTAAGTTCAATCACAGACTGGGTCATACCAAAGACCAACATGAAAATGGTAACTGCTGTCTCCTCTCTAAGCACTCTGCATATAGAGGTTGAAGTAGGGAACAAAGCCAGTTCTGCTGTACAACTGGTAACAGAGGCCCATGTGGAAGATAATCTATAGCTTAACATTTTTAAAAACAGTTCAAAAAAAAACAATTTTACCTAATCAGTCTGTATGAGATCATAATACTGTATGTAATAGTAAAACAATTTTCTTTTTTCGGTTTCAGAAATTTCTGCCAGATGATGAGACGCTCCACTACCAGATGCATGTAAAGCTGACAGCAGCCCAGTTGAAACTTCTCAAGGCCTACGTCTTAAAGTCTGGAACTGTTCAAGATGCCAGTTCTGTACTAGGGGAGATGATTCAAGATGTGAAAATAGTGTCACACACTGAAGAACCATGGGTCACTAGGGAGGAGGTGACTGCATATTTAGTGATGGCATTACAGGCGAGTAATATTTGTTTTTAGATATTGTTGCTTATCTTTTATTGTCACATTATTAAATGTGTCCCACTTGATTTAGGTTCTGCATTCGAATTTTACTGCATAGTTGTAAGCTAGTATTGACAATATTTTCACACTGTACAAAAAATGACATCATAATAAGTAACCTTGGCAGCCAATGCATCAATTCTCTTGCTATCCAAAATACAACATATATTATTGACTTTCATAAGCCACAATGTACCTAAATGTGAAATACATGATCAAAATGGATGGTGAACTCCAGATATTTGTTGTGGCAAATAACTGTTTCTCTATGGTCATATTTCCTAATCAGGACATTGCATGCTGCTCTTTTTATTAAGAAAATATGTTCTTATCAAATCTTTTTTTTTTTTTAATTCAGGTGGTGTCTATTGTATTTCTTGCTGTTGGTAGTCTGAAGGTTTTCTATACTCTCAGTGTGTCAGGGATGAGGCTTATGATTCTTCTCAGCATATTCATTAGTGTTCCCTGGAACTGGGTACATTTATACAAGGTAAGTGTGCTTCAACATATTTTCCTTGTCAGTACATGTAGAATTGGTTTTGATACCACATGTATTTACTTTAACCTTCTATATGTACACATTAATTGGAGCACCTCAAAACTGTCATCCAATTTTGTATCGATTACTAATTTTATCAAATTTGCAACTTGATATGCTTTATGCACTATCTACATTATGTTTTGACAGTCAAATTTGATGCTAAATGTTATAATTCAGTATTATTTGTGTTGTTCTGCTTTGAAGGTTGCTGTGGCCAAAAGAATGAGCGAAGCAATGAAAGACATTCCGGAAGCATGTCGCCCAAGAGACCTCACCTGGCAGCACAACTTATTTGAATGGCTTAAATCTTCTTTTACCTTTCAAGATGATGAATGTGCTCTTTACCATGAAAATCTCTTAGTTGACCCACTGTGGGAGGTAACCCCCACTAAGGCTGTGGCTGTGACACTAACCAAGTTCTTCCTAGAACCAGTAGAGTATATAGCACAGGCTATAAGCAAATTTTTCCGTGGACTCCTACATGATTTGCCTGCTCAACTGTGGCCAGTGGTGCTGGGAATAGTGGTACTGTTTCTCTTGGTGTTTATGGTGCTGACTTTGATCATGAAGAACGGGTACAGGCTAGGATTTCCATTTGGACTCTTGAGACTGGAACCTACTGGGATACCTGATAGTGCTGCTGCACAGGCATTATGGAGGGAGCAGAAGCAAATGGTGAGAATTTTATCCCTGCACTTTTGGGACAAAAGTTGGGGATCATGTTATCCTGCTCAGGTCTGTGCATCCGTAGGTCCTTGTTTCAGTGCGTTAGTAATGTCTGCTATCTCCTCCTATTCCATTAGAGTTAGGAAATTGAAACTGGGGATTGGAAGACCTGTTGCCAGTGATGGGCATTCTGGAATTTTAGTGCAACAGTTCTTTTCAGTATGTATTTTCTGTAAAATCCTCCTAGATCATTAGATTTGGGATGAAGACATAATACTGAATATATTATTATTTATGACATTCATTATGTTCATATATGGGATGTGTCCCTAGGGGTGACCTGCTCTTGCTCTTGACAATGTAGGGAAGTGCCAGGCTATGTGATGGCTACCCATTGACACCATGTAGTCTTTTGGTTGTGTTGTGTTGTATTTTTGGTATAAGCCACTAACTAAGACACATCTGGGTGTTGTCTCTGTGTTGTTTTTTAGCTAAACTTATGAACTAAGCTACCCTAAACACTGTGATACCTTCAGAGCTTTCTTGGAATTGAAATACATGTGTATATAATTTACATGTATAAATTCAATCCTTGAATGAAAAATTAAAAAAATCAATTAAAAGTTTTTTACATTTAAACCATGATTTAAAGACATGATTTAGGACCATGTGAACTGTAATTTTCTTTTATTTATTTATTTATTTGTTTGTTTGTTTGTTTGTTTGTTTGTTTGTTTTATTTTACTTTTATAAAATTTGCTATTGTTTCATTGCAGATAGAAGATTTACAATCTGCCTTGCAAAAACTACAACCAGCCAATATTAGAGCCATAACAGTGAACAAAGAAACCAAAGAGAAAATGGCTATTGCTGCTTATGATCAAAATACAACCAAAAATACGACCAAAGATAGTATTGTCAGTCAGGAAGAGAATCTAGAAAGTGAATCTAGTTCTCCAGTGGAAACTGTTGGAAACATAAAAGAGGCAGATTCTTGACAGAATGCATAATAAAAATCTAAAAAATTTGTCTTTGATTTCATGTCCAATACTTGACAGATTTGCAGGACAAACACATCATGCTCAAGAAATAGTTTTGTAGGAAAATTGCTAAAGAATCAAAGTACCATTAAAACACAGCAGGTATTTATGCTTTGTAATAACACACGTTATTATTTTTTTAACTGGAATAATTTATATGTAACAGACTGAGACAGATACACTTCTTCATGATGACATAATTTTGCAATATGTCTAAGTATTATCTCAACAGCATGCACTGGTGGTTACGTAAATGTTGAATCTAAGTTGAAGTGCAGACGTTTATAAAATCTTTTTCAACACTGAAATTAGTATGAGTTGAAATACAAAAAACGATTCTCATCACAAGAATCGGTGAAAGAATGATTATTATTATTATTATTATTGTTACTATTATTATTCTTATTTTAAAATAAAAAGAATGTCTATTCCATATTTACATTAAATCATTGGACTGGCAAGGTTTATGTAAAAATACAATACATAATAATGATAAATCATGTGTGAATGTGGATTAACAGAAATAAAATACTTATTTCCAACCAGCACAAAATTAAGAAGACCTGCAGATTTCTTGTAGTACGCGCAGGTCCTCCCTGTATCTGGATATGTTCAACAAGAAACAGTTTATGGACTTAAATCAAAGACACATAAACATTGTGTAAAATCTTACACTTTGTCTCTTTAATCTCCGATATGTTCAATTAAATTTCATCACGGAAGAATTGTATTGAAGGGAGCACATGCTGAAAAATTCTCCAAGTAACATAATTTAAGTAGGTGTAGTAATCGTGATTGGTATTTAACATTTCTCCTTTATGTCCATTACATCCTTTATAAATAATGACATGCATAAAGACCTCAAAAAAGCAATTCTTTGTTGTACTAGTTCATGAAGATTATAAGGAATCCAAATGAGATTACATGAATGCAATTCCTTTTATCCATTTCTCATCTTGCAGTGCTTACTGTGACAACACTATTCACATCTACATTCGAATAAACCATTAGGGATCAGTCTTAGTTCTTATAAAGAGGACACTTTTCACTGCCTGTTGGCAGAGCTATAATTAAATTGGAATATTGTAGTGATTGTTGCAAAAATTAATCAAACAAAAGGTACTTGTTACACCTTTTTATTTTCATTATTCAGTATAAATGCTTGTTTGTGGATGAGTGCAAAAGAATGTTAAGATTTACCTGTTCTAGCAGGGCAATGCCATTTTTATAGCATAGCATAAATTATTGACTAAATAAATGTATATTTACTGAAAAAAAAAACTGATAAACTTACTTTACCTAAATCCAATCATATAAAATGTTATATTTGTGCAGACTTAACTTGGTTTGCACAACTTGGTTTGCGGTCCATTAAAACACTGTTTGGGTGACTAAATAGTTAAAGATCAAAATGCCATAACCAAAAACAAGATAACAAAAGAACCCTTACCCGTTGTTTAAATATGTTAACAATTTACCGTAACCTAGAATTTATTTCAGCTACACATGCTTCAGCTTCTTAAGAGAAGGATGAAAGCTAAACCAAACTTCCTAACAATTCATCAGCTGTCATAATGTGCACTTGTGTATTAGATGCACATAAATGTCAACCCCATACAATGGAGATATTTTAAAAAGTTTATAACTGTAGCAACTGTGTTGACTATCAGCAGTTGTTTGCCAATAATATACTAGATATAAAGATCCTCATGATATAAGCTCTAGACTAGAAGTAGCATTTTTATAATATTTTCTTAATTTACATGACATTATTCTAATATTTAAAATTATTCTTTTTTCAAATAAGTCACTGAACAGATTCGGTTTAAAAAAATACCCTCTAAAATGTCCAAATAAAAAAAGGAAAAGAGAAAAATCAAATAAACGCCTGGACTTCATGTATTTCTTTAATTCAATGGAAGGTTTGTCTATCATAATCCCTGATTCATTTGCTCTGAATGTCTGTGCACAGAGTTGATGAAAGCTGCTAGATGGTCTGGGTTGTGATCTGGATACATTCCATGCCCTAGGTTTGCTATGTATTTCTGGGTGCCAAAATTCTTGAGCATTTCTTTGGTCATCTTGGATATTTCCTCCTGCACAAATGAAAATAAGGTCTTTTAAAAAAGGACAAAGGGTATCTTTGTAGCACTACCTATTTTATATACGCATACAAGTGAATAAAAATGTTTTCTTAAAGATTAAGATAATCATGCCAAAAATATCAAATGTCAATATACATATTTAAAACAAATACACGTGTTATTAGGTAAAAGCCCAGTCTGCTGACTGAACTTTTACTATAAGCTGGTCTCATTTCTGTCTTACCTCAGAGGCATACAGAGCACAAGGGTCTAGATTTCCTTGCAAAGTGACGTTTGGGGCAAGTCTCCTAAAACAGAAAAAAATCAAATACAGCAATGTGTCAGTAGTCATAATTGAAATACTGCCAGTCATATTATATGCCCAATACTTATCTTCATGTTACACAATCATAATGCTTTGAAATTCACATACCTAGCATGTTTTGGTTTTACTGTCCAGTCCAAGGCAACCACCTCATAACCACTCTCACCCAATTCTTCCAATGCAAAATGAGCATCTTTGGCAAATATTATCTGCAAAATAGAATTTTTAAGACAAAAGGGGATACTTTAATTTGAAAAAAAAAAAAGAATACAAAATTCACCAATAATTTAATCAAACACTGGATTTCATATACAAAAATGCTAGCAAATGTAAAATCCTTATATAATATCAAGTTAGTAGATATTTTGAAACTGTGGAATAACCAATCATATAATATTCACCATAGGAACAGGTTTGGTTCCTCGGACTGACAATTCTTCCTTGACTCTCTTTGAGATCTGCTTGATGCAAGGTAGAGCAAACTTGGAGAAGTTTCCTGGTCCAAGACACCCTGCATGTGACTCGAACAGCTGTAGGATCTGAAAAAGAGGGACAGGAGTGGGATTTTCTAATGGTCATAGTGTGTTTGGCACACGTATATCATTTTGGAATGACAAAATTAACAGTAATTTATCTATACCTACAGGTAACATGCTATCTTTGTAAAAATGCCATTATTTAGAACCGTAACTGCATACGATATAAGTAGTCAGGGACTGTGGCATGCAGTAGGACTCTGTCCATATATGAGCAGGGGATTTAAATTAATAACAAAAATGTTCAATGTTCAAAAATAAAGGAACTACATTAGACATAAGGCAAATAATCATTCATAATGGATAGGATTACCAAAATTCACAAAAGCAATAGAAGTTAGAACAATATGGCCTCTGTGCTTCACACGAAGACCAATATGCATTGATTACCTGTGCTCCGGCTTGCACTTGCCCCACTAAATATTGCACTATGATATCAGTGAGAAGTTGTAGCAGCTGATGACTTTCCTCAGGATGCACATAAAGCCATTTTTTGGCTTTAGAGAATGTGTTGGAGCCTCCTCCTTCTATCATATATGCCATAAGTGTCCACTGTGAAGAAAAAAATATTAGTTTACATAAAACCAGTATTTTAATAAATCAAACTATACAAATATTGACCCTACGCTACCCTCTCTCGGCCCCTACCCCCTTCACCCATCAAAATTTAAGTTCTATTAAATTTCTATCAAGCATTATAGAACTACATGTATATACCTGTAGCTAATCTGATTTCATGTTCACGTCATTTTAAAGAACATTTCAGATACAAAAAAACTTACAGGAGCACCACTAAATCCTATAAGAGGAACTTTTCCCTCCAACTTGTGTCTGGTCAGTGTGATAGCTTCAAAGACATAGTTAAGTGTTTCATACACATTTACATCTTTTTTTAGATTTTTCATATCGTCAGGAGTCTTCAGAGGGTCATCAAATGTTGGTCCCTGCAGAAATATAAACAAGGAAACCATCAAAATTTTAAGCTGAAAAGAAGTATAAGGAAAACAAAAAATTATGAAATGAAAATAATATAAACCAGCATACTGTTACATCACAGAATGGGGAAAACTTTGAAGATACTGAAGGTCCGGAAGGACCTGCAATGCAGTACAAGAAATCTGTGGGTCATCCCAGTTCTGCGCTGGTCCAAAGTAAATATTTTGATTTAAAATTATGTATGGTATTTTCACAAAAACAATTCCACTGGCATTTCAGAAGTCATGACCTGTTGGATTGGTAGTTTCCCCATGTCTGCATCATGAAGTTGAAGGTTAAGGACAAAAATAATTGCCAGTGTATCCCCCCTATTATGTATCATTTATGTATAATAAGCTGGCACATAAATTCAGAACAGTAACAGTAACCAAGAATCCAAATTTATAATGACTTTCTCTTGTAAAAATACCTTCAATGTGGGACTAATAAATGTTAATCTACTGGCACATATTTAGGGTCACCTGCTTTAACAGTGTAGTTATAAATGACAATCATATGGGAAATAATATATAGGTAAGGTGCCATCTAGGCAGGGGCAGTAAAGCATTACAACATGGAGACAAGCTTTCTTTTCAAAATTGCTCAAGCCATGCATGATCACAATAGCATGTAAGCACCCTGTGCTTCTGAGTATTGTTGTCGACTATCCAGCAATGTATTCTCAATAAAAAAGCCACTGCTACTTATGTATAACTCAGGGTGCATGTGAATTAAAAAGGTTGTTAAATATGAAATAACAACCTATCCATGCCTCCCTGTTGAAGAAAATTATAAAGAGACAAGTGATGTGATCTATGCAACACAGGGGCAGATCCAGAGATATTTTCTGACAGTCTTCCAAATTATGTTTGTTAATCCATCCTCCATTTTGACCGTCTTCCGACAGAAAACATTAGATACCCGTCAATGTAAACTTGAAAATCTGACCGTCTTCCGGAAGACCCAGAAGATGGCCTAAATCCGCCCCTGCTACAGACGCCAAAGTGTACAAGATGTGCCTTTGTTTCCATAAATGGCATCACCCAACACAAAACATATATGTATGCATAAAACTACACTATGCACAAACTTCCTACCTTGCCTGGTACCATCTCAACCTTCATCCCTACTGCTTGTGGAATAACTAGGATATCAGAAAAGATGATTGCTGCATCTAAATCTAGTCTTCTAATTGGCTGAAATTAAACATGTAGAATAGTAAACAACTGAAATCAAATTTTCAGTTACAGTGTATATAATATGTAGCATGAATGAGAATCAATAAAAAATATCATTATGAATTGTTTCATGAAGTTAAATAAGACACAGAATCATCGTGCAGTTAATGAAAATTTTAGTCTAGAAAAAACTCTAAATGCATCATTTTATTGAAAATATTAATTTCATAATCATCCTAACACTATGCCATCTATTCTACATTAGCTCACATACCTGTAAAGTTATTTCACAAGCCAACTCTGGTGTTTGGCAGACCTCAAAAAAATCATGTTTGCTTCTGACTTCATGGAATTCTGAAACAAGAAGATTAAATTTAACAATATTGGTCTTATCACCATGCCATAGGCTCTCTATAAAACAGTTTCATCCACAACAAACTAAACTTCATTAGCTAGGGCGTTTTTTTTTTTTTTTTTTTTTCAATTTAATGTAAAAATGAAAATTATACATGTATGAAACATTCAGTACTTCAAACTTGGATAATGAAGATAATGCTGCAGTTTGTTCTTTACAACATACCAGTAGAACTGAATCCCAAACTAATTGGTGTCATAACTAGTTTTACCTGGTAAATATCTCCCAGCTTGCCTCATTGCCCAGACTGGTACCCGTTCTGTTTTCTCTCCTGCAGCAGCTCGTAATAAGAGATCATTTTTTAGTGGGGGGAATGCCTGCAAAGACATTTTTATGAAATATATAGCAAAATATTAACAGTCATGTAGTGCATAGGTGACCCAATGGAGGGCTATTCTCAAGATGACACTGAGCTCAGAAATAACTGTGTGAAACTGACTGATGAAAATAGTGTTACATGATACATGTCACTGTTAGGCAGTCAACATTATTATGTACTCACTGGTACATTGTTATTCAAATACGACCCTTGGGAGTGTTATCAGATAATTATCCAGTACACCTAAATGTGTAAAATGTTAAAATCTCAAGTAAAAGATTTTTTATTTACTTAAACAGGAAATGATCAGTTTAAGGTCGTATTTAATAGATCCGCACTGTGTTATGTTATCTGCATAGAACACATTCAAGCCTTCAGCATAGGAAATTTGTGGTGGTTGGATCCAGTCTTTTTATTTAATTACTTACCAATTATTCATTTTATTTTATTTATTTATTTTTATTTAATTTACTTATTTTATTTATTTATTTAATTACCTCCGCCAAGGGGGTTATGTTTTCACCCCTGTTTGTCTATTTGTATTCTATTTGTTTGTTTGTCATCAACATAACTCAAAAAGTTATGGACCGATTTTGATTAAATTTTCAGGAACTGTCAGAAGTGGGCCAAGGAAGAGTGATTAGTTTTTGGTGGTGATCCGGATCAATAATCAATCAATAGTAATCAAAAATCGCTGCCTTGGCAGAGGTCTGTGCTTTTCTAGTTTATAATTTTTTTTATGAGGGAGTAGGCATTATGTCTCTTTTTTCAGTTAAGTAAATGGAGAATTAAAAAACAAACCTATCAATTTATTACTATCCTAGCACATGATATTGTATGAACAGATTCGTTTTCAAATAGACAAGTTATTTTTATTTGTTTCTTTTAATATCATGGTACACTTAGGTAATGCTTTGAAGGTCCCTTATGAGGTCCTTCGCTTAAAAAACTAATTATGACAGCAGCTAGATGAGCGTTGCAGTGCTTACGAAAAGACAGACACGGCAAACACAGGTGCCGGTGTCACGTTGCTGTGAAACGGTGACATCGCACAGTTTAAGCACCAGTCCAGGGATGGTACACTACCATTTTAGAGAAAGTAAACAATTTCACGTTTACGTTGCTTGCTTTAATTATGAATGACATTATAAAATAGAGATAAAATAAGTGAATTTATATAACTCACCTGTCCGGTGTAGGGGGCTGCCATCTTCACGAAGTTGTGTCTGCTCTGCGGTTTAGTTTCGCATCTGATTACTCCGCCTTTGTGCATTCATTTTTCACGTCATAGCTGTACATATATATATATATATATATATATATATATATATATATATATATATATATATATATATATATATAGCACGTGTTTTATTTTAAGTGTATCTTATCACATTTTGCATACTGAACAAGCTTAAGCCCTCACCCTTCTCTCTCTTTCCCTCTCACTCTCCATGAAAAGCGTTTTCCAGAAATTCTCCAGATAAATCATAAAAAAAATGTTTTGACAAGGACGTTGGAGGAGCAGTTGGAGGTAGAAAATTTTTAGCTTGAGATATTTGCTAGATGTTTAAATAAAGATAGTAGCTGTGATGTTGTAAAGCTCCCCACGCTCCTTCTACAACTTGTGATCTAAACTTAAAAGCAGTTGAGGAGGTCGTTTCTCTTCTGTAGGGTCTACTTTTTTTACCCTTTCTGCCTTTCTCGTTGCGTTACTTGCCTTTTGCGACCTGAGGCTTCAATTGCTGCCACCAGCGAGTCGACTTATGGTTCCTCGTCCTCCAAGTTGCCAAGTTTTAAATTAGTTGGATTTCATTAAGTCCATTAAGAAGCCAATGTACTTTTTCCTTAGACGGCGTTGAATGTTTGTATTTAAAACAGTTTAAAATATAATAGGCCTACTGAAATTAATCTATCTTAATAATTCAATAGATTTGATAATAACAGCAGTAAATACTATTTAAATTGTGACTTATTGGCCAAATTCCACTATTCTCTCTCTCTCAAGCAGCCCGGTCTCAAACTTATTATGACGATGCATACTAGAAAAAGTATTATGGAAAAAAAGTAAGCTCATGACACAGATCACGGGATTCTTATTAAAACGTGCCATAAATATGGACAGTCGCCTGTATTGTGGCTGAAATTATCTTAATCAGCGAGTTTATAGGTGTGACAGCTTATTTTGTGTGCTCATTAGTTGAGAAAATACCAGTGCATTGTTTATCATTTACTACTCATGCGGGGCCGT